ATACATATCAGCATTTTAAAATTCAAATTTCTAGCAGAAATATCATTTGAAACATGTTAACTGTGCTATTACATGACATACATTTTATGCAGTATTTCTCATTGGATATTTCAACCTTTTTCATTTTGTTCAGGGGTAAATCAGGAAAATTTTAACACCTCATGTTGCAAATCACCAAGAGGTACAATACTTAGATTTAGATAAAAATCTGAACTTACCCATTTAATGGTATTAATATATTTTTAAAAAATAATTTACATCAAAAAGAGTTTCCTCATGAACTGGGTCAAATTTTTCCTGTGGGATAGGAGAAGGAAAGGAGAGCAAAAGTGAATTCCATCTGAGGGAAACTGAAGGGAGTTTTTTCTGCGTGCCAGCAGGGTGTTGGAGTGGGTTATGTCAGTTTTCCTTCCAGGCACCAAGCAGAGTTGCCAAGGACCTGCCAGGCAGTTGGCCAGAGGAGGACTCAGGCCCAGGGAGCAGCTGGATGATGGCTCTGCCAATCTCTACACCAGTGGTTTTCCAGCAGCTGCCTCATGGGCTGTTCATACTTCAAAAGTCCTGTTGAAATTTCCTGGCAATTTAATTTTCTGTCCATATTAGCAAACAGCATTCATGAAAAACAGTTTCCATCAGAATATGACCTCCTCATTAGTTTTGTTTTAAAGTGATGCCTCTTTTTGAGCACCTCAAAGTATTATGAAGAAGTTATGTTGATTCCCTACCTACATCCACTCATTTAGTGTTTCTACTTTGAAGTTAAGATTCAAGGCATGTTCTTAAACTTCATTCATTGCACTGTTTCTTTTTCAATCTTTAAATGTTGCATTTTTAAAGACCTATACAGGGGTGCTAACTTTGAGGTAGTATCTAGTTAATACTAGTAACATAAACTAGTCTGAAGTACCAAACCTGGTGCCTTTTGTCTGTTTCTAGTTCTCCAGCCATAAACCCACCACTTTTAGCCAAATGCTGTGTTTGGTGGTTTATTGGAAAAAAAAACCCTGCAAATCTGTTTTCACAAAAGGGATCTGAGCCTGTTTGATAGAAATGTATCTCATTTCCTCCAACATTTGCATTAGGAAATGGTAAAATTTACAGCCAGAGTGACTGCCTTCAGTGCTGCTTTCTTTATTGGAATCAATACTGATCTCCTAGGCATGTGAAGGGCAACCCAAATGGTGAGATGGGAATTTTGAAGGAAAACTGAATAACAATGGCAACCTTGAAGTAACAGTTTGTATAGCAAACATTTAGAACTGTAAATATACTGGATTTCATTCTTCCTCTAGATCTAGTTCCAGGTGTACACGCTGTGTGTATTCACACCACTTAAGTGCTCTTATACCTGCATTATAGAATTATCCAAATATTGTTCTGTTGCTAAGCAGGACTGAAGTGGGTTCTAGGGAGCAGCTCTAGGGAGCTGAAAACCAGTCAGGGCAAGGATCAAAACAATCATTTCTTCAGGTTCAACAGGGGCAAGTGCCTCCTCCTGCACTTAGGTCACAGCCACCTCAGTCAATGCTCCAGGCTGGGGCAGAGTGTCTGGAAGCTGCCCGGGGGAAAAGTGCCTGGGGGGCTGGTGGACAGGTGCCTGGAGGTGAGCCAGTGTGTGCCCAGGTAGCCAAGGAGGCCACCAGCATCCTGGCTTGGATCAGCACTGGTGTGGCCAGCAGGAGCAGGGCAGGGATCATCCTCTGGACTTGGCACTGGGGAAGCCACACCTTGAATCGTGGGGTCAGTTTTGGGCCCCTCACTCCAAAAAACATGTCGAGGGACTGGAGCATGTCCAGAGAAGGGCAGTGAAGGTGGTGAAGGGTCCAGAGAACAAGTCTTGTGAGGAAAGGCTGAGGGAGCTGGGGGTGCTGAGCCTGGAGCAAAGGAGGCTCAGGGGAGACCTTCTGGCTCTGCACAGCTCCTGACAGGAGCCTGGAGCCAGGGGGGGGTCGGGCTCTTCTCCAAAGAAACAAGCAAAAGTACAGGAGGAAATATGCTCAAGAGTTGCCAGGGAAGGTTTAGTTTGGACATTACATAAAATACCTTCCCTGCCAGGGTTGTCCAGGGCTGTCCCAGGCTGCCCAGGGCAGTGGTGGAGTCCCCACCTCTGGAGGGAATTAAAGATGTGTAAACGTGGTTTAGTGGTGGCCTTGGCAGTGCTGGGCTGATGGCCGGGCTCAATGATCTCAAAGGTGTCTTCCAATCAAAATGATTCTATCATTCTTTGTGCCTGTTATTTTTTTCCCCTTTTTGTTACAGGGCAGGTGAATTCAACTACTCTGACTTTACACATCGTTCGAGAGCAAGGCTTTGTTGGAGAGATTGCAGTTCAGCTGAGCACCTCACCTAACTTCGACCTCCCCCTCTCCAACCAGGCAACAGAGAATGTGGATTATATACTGGAAAAGAAGACAGTCATTATGGCAGAGAATGCAACAACAGCTTCTGTTTTAGTCACTGTTTTGCCTGTGAGTACCCTCACAACTTTGGCTAATTTAAGGAAAGGGAAGATGCTACTGGTTCTGTACCAAGAGTGGCAGGATTTAGCATTCTAGAAATGGCTAAGGTTGAATTCTTACCTCATCAGGTGGCTGCATATTAATTAGAATTGCATCCATCTCTTTCAAAAGAATTCAAGTACTCATCACTGAGAATGAACCAAATTATTATTTTTTGGTTGTTGTCGTTCCAAAATTAACATATAATAATGACAGAGGAAAAAATATAAATGTCTTAGGTGCTTGCTGGTTTTCCATCTTGTTGCAGATTTTTATAGAATTTATTTTACTTTACGTGCCTCTTAACAGATTTGTTCTGTAGTTGAGAAAATGTTATTTTTCACCAAAAAGATGGCTTTTCTCTAAATATATTCAGAATGGAGGTATTGCTTTTCACGTTCTGGCTTAGTTCTGAAATTTAGCCATCAATCTTATCTTGTAGATAGGAGAAGCAAGGGACAGCCAGCAATACTTTCCACCATTCTTACAGATCTGGAATCTGCCTGCCAGCTTCAGTTTCCAAAGCTCAGCAAAGGCAGTCTTTTTCACCTTCCATGCAGTGTGAGCCAAGGGACTGGTCTTGTGGTCCCCAATGCTGAGAATTTTTGAATGGTAAGCAACCTACAAGTAGCCAGCTTCCTGCATGTGTTACAACTTACAGTATTTTATTGAAATATATTTTTGCAGGACAAGGTTCCAGAATTAGAGGAAGGATTTGTAATCAATATTACTGATGTGCAACTGGTCGATTCTCCCACTGGAAGTCAGCCAAGTGTGAAGAGGCTTGGGTTAGAAATAGCTGAAATAACAATTGAAGAAAATGATGATGCCAGGGGGGTGTTCAGTTTCAATGTTACAAAGGTAAGTAAATCTGAATGAAAAATATTTAAAGTGGCATTCCAGCAGGAGAGTCTGTGTTTTCAGGCTAGTTTTGATGGTGGTCTAATTGGCTTTTATGACTAAATTGTTCTGGGTTAAATGGCCAGATACATGACAAATTATTCCTTCTTAAAAGGTTTTTCACAATTAATAGATTAAATTTATTAGGTAGCTGGAGGTGCTGAAACTGTTGTCCTAGAACAATCCGAAAGGGACCTCAGGAGGTCATTCAGTCCAGACTTTCTCTCAGAGCAAAGTCAATGTTAAATTCAGACCAATTTACAAGTGATCGTATATTTATTAATTTATTTATTATCTGCAAGTCAGCATAAAAAAAAACCCAAAAAACCAAGAAACAAAAACCAAACAAACCAAAATACCAAAACCAAAACAACCAAAAAGATTGCTGTGACACTCAGTATATTTCTTGCTGAATTTACAGGACATAACTGGAGCTGTTGCTGGCTATGAGGTCCCACCTCCACAGAATGTACTGAAACTTCCAGTCGTTCGGCACGCCGGGAGGTTTGGGTCAGCCACTCTGTACTGGGAAGCCATTCCCTCAACTACTAGCTTTGAGGACTTCACTCCATCATTTGGGAACCTTACATTTACAGATGGGCAGGTAGCTGCTTGCTAAAAGTTTACCTGTGTCTGGAGTATCAGCTGAAAGTGTTGCTCATGTTTTCTTCCAGAAGAATTTGCATATTTTCATTAAAAATGTTTTATTTATGGTCTTTTGTATGTGAATGAAGCTTCTGAAAGCAGAAAACATGGTGGGAAAATGGGAAAGCAGAATGTTCATAAGCATTAACCAAAGAGGGCTGTATGGCTTTAGTACCTCCACAAGTGAAGACATTTCTAACAATAAAAACTCTTACCCTGAAAGTCTGTAACATAACCTCTCATATCTATAAATTCTCAGAGTAAGCTTCTCTGTTTTCTGAGCTGTTTTCTACATACAGTTTTAAGTTTCCTGCTGCCCTGACAACACTTAGTGCACACAAAGGGTTTTGTTTTCAAGTAAACAGATTGGGCAAGTGGAAGGATATACTTTGTGAGCAGAATTTTGGCTTAGCTACAGTATTGTCTACCTGCACTTCCAACTGAGTACCAAAGCAGAAGAGTGTGCTGTTTTTTACATACAAGATTTATGTTGATGGGCTTAAAAACCACTCTTGGAATTTTGTTGTCTTATTATAAAATGCTTCTATGAGGTTCAACAAGGCTGGGTCCTGCACTTGGGCCACAACAACCCCAGGCAATGCTCCAGGCTTGGGGCAGAGTTCCTGGAAAAGCTGTTGGTGGAAAAGGACCTGGGTATTAGGAAAAGTATCTTCCCTGAAAGGGTTGCCCAGGGCTGTGCCAGGCTGCCCAGGGCAGTGGTGGAGTCCCCACCCCTGGAGGGGTTTCCAAGCTGTGGAGATGTGGTGTGAGGGACACGGGGCAGTGGGGACCTGGCAGTGCTGGGGGGATGGCTGGACTCAATGATCTTAAAGGTCTTTCCCAACCTAAATGATTCTATGATTCTTTGAATCTATAAATATACAAGCATGAGAAGAAATAAGCACAACTGAAAAATGTGTATTTATGTATTCTTAGATAAAATTTCTGTATTAAAGTTCAGATTTTTTTCAAACAATTCACAGAATACTATAAATGAAGCTTTGTTGTTCTTTTAACAATTTCTACAGGCTACAGGAGAAATAGAAATTACAATCATAGATGACAGTGAAGTTGAGTTCCTTGAGATATTCAAGATTGCCCTGGTGAGGGTTACAGGTGGTGCAAGACTTGGGGATGACACCCTGGTGACTGTCGCCATTCCACCCAATGATTCCCCTGTTGGAGTATTTGGGTTTGAAGAGAAGAAGGTGAGTTTGATTTGGGTTGTGCTCTTTTCTGCAGAAGCTGGGTAGTGGGTTTGTGTCACTAACACGTGGCTGATTTTGGGAAGCCTTCACTGCAGTGGAAGACACGACTTCATTGGTAGATATATTAGGGGTTGTCTTCATCTGGCTGTGTTGGATGGTAGTAACAATGAAACTGCTGCTGCATAGATGTGTATTTCTGCATGGCTGAATCAATTTAATTGAATATAATAACAATTATTATTGTTAATGGACATCTCAGGTAGAATTTCTGATAGCCTGTTGAATATTAAAATGATTTTCTAATAATCTCTGTTACTGAAAGTGAAGTTTGGGATGAAATTACGAAACGTATCTCAGCTCTTGTCAGTGAATGATTCTTCTGCTCCCCATTTTGCTGGTGCAGTGCCTGCTTGTGACTCATTGTCTGTAATTGTTTGAATCAGAGCATACAGAAATAACACGAGTGACTAATCCTTGCTAGCAGCATTCAACACATAACATCTGTTATCTTCCTGTTGATTTTCACTCATTTTCTTATTTCACATTATCATCTATAATGATTTTTGTAATTTATCTCAAGCCAGTATTGATGCCTTTTGCTGCAGTCTTTCTTAAATCCTCCTTCTTCATCAGGTGACAGTGAAGGAGCCTCAGACACCTGATGACCCTGCTGCAGTTGTATTGCTCACTGTCAGACGAAGCCAAGGAGGACAAGGAGCAGTTAAAGTGTTATGGATTCTGGAGGAAGCAGCCAGATATGATCTGACCCCTCTGAATGGTACCCTTCACTTCAACGAGGTATGTCTGATGTTGCAATAAGTTATTTATTGTCAGTTTTATAAATATTTTCCTCTTCTGTGTATTTGCATGGTTGTTGTTGTGTGTCTCTAGAAGAAGAGGGTTATCAAGTATTATAACATTAGGAGGAGGCCAGTTTGAACTGGTGGGGTTAGCAGTATGCAGTGTGTTTTCAAACAGAAAAGAAAAGCTGGCATGCTCTTTTTAGGCAGCATAATGTAATCATCAGGAAGACAGGCTCTGCAAATCTGAACTGCTTTTGCAGTGAAGGAAGAGGGAAAAAAATGGACTGAATGTGAAAAATCATTGCAGAAACATTTATTCCATTGCAGTATCAGACAACTGAAAGAAAAAAAAATTGGGTATTTAAAGGGCAGGAAGAATAACTGAAGGCTCAAAATTTGCAGATTTAAAAAAATAAATAATAAAACACACTAGTGGCTTTCCTGCTGGACAGTGTTATTTCATTTGTGTTTCATGGCAAGTTAAGACTCTGAAGTAGGAGCAGAAATACTGGATATTGTTACCTTAATATTGGTCTTTTATAGTCTACTCAAAATATTTAATGAAGAAAAGTGTTTTAATACAAAGCATAATCTATTTTGTCCATACAAGGCTATTTTGCATAAAATAAATAGGGATACTGGTGTTTCTTTTACTTTAAATCACCTGGAAAATATCTGTTTTGGTACGACCACCAGTATTTGGCAAGTTTTGCTATTCTTCCTGTACTGATAGGCCTGGACATTGTTTTTTCTTCCTGAAGTTCTTATACATGCATACAAGTAAGAATACAAGTAAGTATTTATGATATACTAAAGTTACACAATGTGTACCTGCATTTGTTTTTCATTCTTATTTTAAGCATCTGCTACTGTCAGCATTTTGCTGACAAAGAAGTGGATTAGGCAGGATTTTTCTATAACCTAATTTATCTCTCCTTAATATTAATTTTTAGACTGTATGTATTCTATTGAATATGAAATTTCTGATGGAAAATACTCTGTACAGAAAGTGTCCTCTAAGTTGAAAACTGTGTGAATACAATTTCAAAGTAATTTCAGCTGTTACTCAGTTGAAAAGAGCCCGGGTATTTTTTGGTGGCACACAACATTTGACAGACAATTTTTACTGTTTATAAATCTGTGTGAAAACCTTTCAGCCAGGTCAGAAATGTCATATTTAAAAAAATGCTACAAATATTCCACATACGCACGATCAACACTTGAATAACTTTAACTTTGTTAAAGAAGAAAGTTTATAGTATTACATGTTGTTTATTTTCCACTTAATTTGTGTATGTTTCTCTTCTGATCTTTCCGTGGTGCAGACTGAATCCCAGAAGTTGATTGTTTTACATGTGGTACAAGATGGTCTTCTGGAGGGCAATGAAACATTTGCCATTCAGCTAGTCTCTACTGGTGATGCAGAGATTTCCCCTGTAAATGGTAAAGAATTAATTCACTACATTCTATTTTGAGACATTTCATATGAGCATTTGAGTAAGTCTGTTCATATTATTTTAGTCTGAGGTTCTTAAATACTTTGTGTGCAACTACTTTGTACCAGTTTTGTCTTTCCCCTTGAGTTGTTTCTTTGGCTGAAGAAATCAAGAAGAATTTTAGAATTTTTCATTTTAAATCAATTGTTGGTGCAAGCTTTTCTATTCAGATAGTTTAACATTTTAAAGAATTATTTAGCAAAAAGAAGCAAAAAACACATCCAGGTTCAGACCTGTAAGAATCATTGAATAATTTCATTTGTAAGGGACAATACAAGGAGGTCATCTAGATGAAAATTATGCTCAAAGCACAGGAGACTTCTCAATGAGATCAGGTTGCTGAGTGCTTTCTCCACTCAAATTCTGAATATCTCCAAGGATGGGGATTCCATGAGCTGTCCTTGAAAATGTTGCTTAACCACTCATGTCACAAAATTGACAAAATTTAGCTCGCTAGTTAGTTTTGATTTACCACAGGAAGTTTTGTTCTCTTCATAGGTGTTGCAACCATCATTATTATGGGTGATGAAGGAGCTTCTGGGGTGGTTGGGATAGCCCCTTCATCCAAGCATGTTCTGATTGGAGAACCTTCAGGGAATTATAATGGAACTGCTCTGATTAGGTGGGTACCTCACTCATCTTTCCAAAGGATGGAGAACAGCTCAATTTCAAAAGTTATGAGACTCTGCATTTGGCAAGAATTTCCTGAGTGCTGCATTTCATTGCCACTTCTAAAATCAAAACTACTTTAAAATCAGAGGCCTGTTTTTGAAGGGGGCAAGGGAATCCATGACATTTGAAGATGCTTTCCAGGATTCAGATCAGGATTTCAGTGTATAACCAGAGTGGGAACTAGTTTGTTAGCTGAAGCAAGATGCAATTATTTCACTGCATTCATTCAGCTGAAAACAGGGTGAAGAAATGAAGATGTTGCCATACCTTCTAAGAGTATTGGAAAAAAGGATTGCAACACTCTTCCATGGTGAACCAGCAAATACAAACAGCAGAATAGCTTCTCATGCTGCCCTGAGAAGCCCAAAAGTCAAAGTGATGCTTTATGGAGCAGTAGTTGCAGATCATGAAGCAGATCATGTTAAATACAGAAAAAAAAAGTGTTTGCCATGACTTAGTTTACTGAGACTGATGACATGAGTAGAATTATGCTCTAGGATTTTAGATAGGTAGCTGACAGAACATTTGTCAAGCAATCTCAGTAGTATTCTAGTGTCATTCTTCCTTAAAATACCTAATTGCCTCTCTGCATTACCCTTAAGTCCCATCTCCCTTCTGCATGTCTATCTCTGGAAAAGCAGAAGAGAGCTCAGTGTCCAGCCCCCACTTTTGGTCTCTATGTGCAAAGAAACTTTTAAGACCTCTTGGTAAAAATAGAGCTCAAGATGACTCCCAGCACAGGGAAATAGAACTGCAGAAATTTATTGCCTAGAAGAGGAAATTGTAAAGTAGTGACTTAGCCCATTAAAATTCAAACTTCACAGTGCTGATGATATTTCTTCCGTGCACAACAGTATGATATACTGTCTGTCTCTGCACTGAGTGTCAAATATTTAAACACAGAAGATGAAATCCGTGTTTGTGTTCTTGCCTGCAGCCTGATACGTGGCCCAGGGATTTTTGGTGACATCATAATAAATTGGAATATAACACCTCCTCATCACACAGAGTTTATTGAGACATCAGGGACCCTGACAATGCGAGATAGACAGTCTGCAGCAGTTGTTCTGATCCAGGTACAGAAGAGGTTTTACACCAGCAGCTATTTGAAATACTTCCTTTTATTTAGTACCTTGTTTAGAAATTACTCATACTTCTCTCCCTGGAAATGATTTAAATCCCTTTACCTGCAACTGGTTCTTCTCCCTAGGCTGTAGATGACGACTGTCCTGAGGAGAAGCATTACTACCAATTTCAGCTAACTGGAGTCAGTGATGGAGGACTCATAAATGAGTCTAGCAGCACAGCAAATATTACCATGGCTGCCAGTGATCTTCCATATGGAGAGTTCACATTTTCACGGGACCAGCTGCAAACAACAGAAGAGGAAAAATGGGTATTAGATTAAAATTCCATCTCATGTGAAATATTGATAGGTATCAATATTGTTACTAGATTTATGCTTAAATTCAGGAAAAAAAATTAAGTGATGTTTTTATTCTGCATTTATCATAGCACAGTCTCCAGAATGACAGTCTGAGGCTTTGGGAGTTTTTTAATACTCTGAGAAAGAAAACTGTCTGCTAAATCATGTGTACTGTGTACTTACTAAAGCTGATTGTTGTTACCTGACAGAACCATTGAAACAATGCCTTTAGAACAGTCTCCTAAAGGCAACTGTAACAGAAGAACAAAGCCATGTTTTAA